GGCAGAGGTCAGGCTGTGGAGGTGTGCAAATCATTTCAAAAGCCAAGTTAAGGAACTGGGGTTTAACCCTATGAGCAAGGGGAGGTCATTAACAAGTTATTAGAATGAGCAATACATTATCACTATAAGACTTTTAGACAGATTACTGTTGCTTTTACATGGAGGATAAGATTAGAGGTACAAAAATAAGTTAGGAGGTTCTTAGGGCAATTTAGAAAAGAGAGAGAGAGATAGTAGTGGCCTGGAACAGACTAGAAAGAAAGAGTTCTTTAGGAGGTCAAATGAACAGGACTCGATTTAGTGTTGGGGCAGAGGAAAAAAGTCAGGGAAACTGAGAATTCAAGTGTGACTCTAAGGTTCTGGGTTTGATGGTGAGGACATTTACCAGAATAGGAAACAACAAAGAAGAGATGATTCAGGCCAGACGTGGTGATTCATTCCTGCAATCCCAGCACTTTGGGAGGCCAAGGCAGGCGGATTACCTGAGGTCAGGAGTTTGAGACCAGCCTCACCAACATGGCGAAACCCCATCTCTACTAAAAATACAAAATTAGCCAGGCGTGGTGGCACATGCCTATAATCCCAGCTACTCCGGAGGCTGAGGCAGGAGAATCGCTTGAACCTGGAAGGCGGAGGTTGTGGTGAGCCGAGATTGCACCCTTGCACTCTAGCCTGGGCAACAAGAGTGAAATTCCATCTCAAAAAAAAAAAAAAAAAAGAAAAAAGATGATTCAAGGAGAAAATGAATTCAATTTTAGAACACTGTGATTTTGAGTTGTCTGTAGATCATCCCAGAGATCAGTTGCATATATAGCTCTGAAACCTAAGAGAGAATTCTAGACTGGACGTCCAAATGTGGGACTCCCTGGGATAGAGATGAGAGCTGGTGCATATTTAGGTGAGAAGGTATAGAACAAGAAGATACAAGGGTCTGGTGCAAAAGCCTGAGCTATTACCAAATCTCCATAGAAATATCTGAACTAGGACTCTCCAGGGACTGCATTGGTGGTGGATAAAATGATTGCAGCAATGATAATGATAATGATATTAACAGTTAATAGTTACTGAATACTTCCTATGTGTCATGTGCTATATGCTGTATATTTTTCTCTCATTTAAACCTACAGCATTACTATGAGGTATGGATTATTATGATTCTTACTTTACAGATGACGAATACAGTCTCGGAGAAGTGAAGTGACTTGCTGGAGTTCACGTGGTGAGGAAGGAGTAGAGCTGGGGTTTCCATGAAAACCTGTCTTTTTCCTCATTCATGGCTCTCAACTCTCATGTGTCCAAAAGTAAAATCTGAAATACTTCCTCAAGACCTGCCAAGCTTCATCAAATGTGTTAAATTAAGATCACTATCCTTTAGGGTGGATGTAAGATAAATCTAATTGTTTGAAAATTATTAACAAGCTATTTATGCAACTGATAGTAACTGTTAAATAGGACATTTGCTCATCCATAAGATATCATTTCCTCATTAGTATAAGGGACACAGAGATTTGGCGTCATGGAATTCCAGAAAATAAGAGCAAGAGGGGGCCGGGCGCGGTGGCTCAAGCCTGTAATCCCAGCACTTTGGGAGGCCGAGACGGGTGGATCACGAGGTCAGGAGATCGAGACCATCCTGGCTAACACGGTGAAACCCCATCTCTACTAAAAAATACAAAAAACTAGCCGGGCGAGGTGGTGGGCGCCTGTAGTCCCAGCTACTCAGGAGGCTGAGGCAGGAGAATGGCGTAAACCCGGGAGGTGGAGCTTGCAGTGAGCTGAGATCCGGCCACTGCACCCCAGCCTGGGCGACAGAGCAAGACTCCGTCTCAAAAAAAAAAAAAGAGCAAGAGGGGATCGCAGAATATCTAATTAAAACCTTTTGAGCGACAATGGAGAAAGTTCAGAGCCCTCAAATTACTCAAGAGCACAAAATAAATGGCAGAGTATCTTGGGGCTCTTTTACTTCTATTCCATTTTTTTTCATTTCTCGGAGCAGGATCATGTCCCTCGTGCCCTCATACAGTTCCCTAGGGAAATACAGAGCCACAGTTCAGCACAGGGCAACCCTGGCCCGACTCCTCCAATTCTGGAGTTTACCTTCCTCCACCCTGCTGCCATACTCCTGAGTACAAAGCGCACAGGGCTGGAAGCAGCACACACTCTGGCTTCCTCTCCCATGTGCCCTGGAGGTCATTTTATTTCATTTCTAGTCCTCTTGTGAGCTGCTTGCACCTCTGTGTAAGACAGATTTATTTGGAACCAATTGCAGCTGCCAGCTAGAGGAATCCTCTAAGACACATCTCTATGAGACAGCCATCTGAGACTGACCTCCAGGACACCACTCTGCTGTCTCCTGCCAACTTTCAATAGACATATCCAGGAGCAAAGTACATTGTGTAGCCTGGAAAGCCTGCCCTTATGTTCTCTCCCTTTGTCCTCTCTGACTGTGGTGAGGGGCAGCCTCCATTGACAGTGTTAGAACATGGGAACACAAGACAGAATGCCCTTTGGGCACCCGTTCTTCCTGAGTTTAAGTTCCAGGTAATTTCACAAAGTTGGGAGGAAAAGGAAGGAAAAGAAGGAAGAAAATGAATATTTCCTACATCTTCTACGGGTTAGCCCTGGGGCGCCTGCTTTGTTTAAATAATGTCTTTGATTGCTCACAAAATGCAAGGTGACACAGCTGCACAGAGGCAGAGCTGGGCTTTGAACCCAGGCAGAATTGTTCCATGTACACCATATTGCCTGTGCCCCATATACCTTACTGGTGTCTCAAGGATGCTAACATTTTCCTAATTATAATTAGCTACATTTGCCTTCTTTAGGAAACTCTGGAACCCCACAGTGCTTCAAGAACTGCAAAGAGGGTTCTTGTAATGATAGTAAGATATCTGTGAAGTGAATGAAGGATGGAATGGAGAGGAGCTGGAGTTCATGTAGGAAACTTGGATGAGCCTAATAAGCTTTGTCACCTACAACTGCTAGCTAGGGCTCATTGGGTCTGCAAACACTGTGAACCTTATTGGACAAGAGAAATGTTTATTTACTTGCATACCCTCATGTGTTTTAAAGCAGAGGAAGGGAGAACTATGCCCCTTCTCAAACATGTCCTCTCTTTTGGTGATCCAATAAATTACTGGGTGAGTGTAATAGAGAAAGGTCAGGCCGGGCGCAGTGGCTCACACCTGTAATCCCAGCACTTTGGGAGGCCGAGGTGGGTGGATCTCCTGAGGTCAGGAGTTCGAGACCAGTCTGGCCAACATGGTGAAATCCCATCTCTACTAAAAATACAAAAATTAGCCAGGCATGGTGGCATGTAAGACTATAATCCCAGCTACTTGGAGGCTGAGGCAGGAGAATCACTTGAACCCAGGAGGCAGAGGTTGCAGTGAGTCGAGATCACGCCACTGCACTCCAGCCTGGGGGACAGAGCAAGACTCCATCTCAAAAACATAAATAAATAAAAAATAAAGATCAGCAAAATACACCCATAGCAGTAGTGATCCTTACTGATAGCCTTGCAAACTCTTCCACCCCTCTTTCTTATTTCCATCCCTAAAAATATTTGCTGTTATTTCCAAACCTAAGGAGACTAAAGAAATGGGCATAGACCAATGGAAGTCTCCTTAGAGTTGCTTTCACTGTGCATACTTTACAGAAAGTAGAAAAGTTTTCCAAGAAGGAAAAAAGGGGCCACAAATCATAAAACATGCTGATAGACAACTCCAAATCCTGCCTACTATGTCTTCTCTCATTATTCCTGATACAATTTTAGTTCTTTCTTTTGTTCTCTCAAACATTAACAAGAGTTCAAATCCCCCAGTATCACATCAAGTTTATTCTGGAAATGCTAAACTCTCCACAGAGACTTGGGACAAAGAAACATAATTAAAGGCTCTTATCAAGTGTTATGTCATCTTGTTCTAGTTTTACACAATGCTCTTGATGAATGAAGAAAATGGCAATAAGTAATTTGTTTTTTTTTTCTGCTGGAGAATAATATGGGAATAGGAACTTGCACAGCAACAAGCTTGGAAAGTAATCTGTCCTGTGGTCTCTGAGTCTTAAAAGCTCAGTCTACCTCTAAGAAAGGAGAGGCAACTCAACTTTTACGGGGACGTCTATGTGTGTGGAGAGGAGTATGAATGAGGCTAGTTATGCTGTAAAATAGCCACATCGTTTCTTGCTACATTTTTGTGTTTCCAGCCCATATACACTTCGTGTGTTTCTTGGCTTCCTTATTCGGATGAGGCACCAGCATTCAAGTGACCTGAGGGTGTAGTTTTAAAAGCTGCTTTTTGTGACAGGGGTGGTGGCCTAGCCCACAGGAAATGAAGAAAACTGATAGGCCCAACCTTTGAGTTCCCGCAGAGGCCTGAAATCAAGACACTTGCTCTTGAGGACAAGAACTACTTTGTAAAGAATAACCAATGTACCCGCAGCTCAGAATGCTCTGTGCCTAAGCAGAGCCAAGCCCCGAAACTCATTTTTCCATAAACAAGCCTCAGCCGCAGAGACATAACTCTCTTTAGACTCTCTGGATGATTTCATTTACTAGGCATGCCAAAGCGCCCAGATGTATGATTCGCTCAGCCTCATTCACTGGGGAAACTGATCTTTTCTTTTGATTTGGTATTAGCAGAAATGTCATTTATCTAAGCTTTTCGAGGAGGTTGCCTATCTGGAATTTGTCTCCTAAGACCCTGAAGTCATTTTCAGGGTGACTGTCCCTCCCCACCTCCACCCTGCCATAGTCACATGTACTCTCTTCCTAAAGAATTTAGACCTCCAGTTCTTTCTCATGTAGTGTTTTTCTTTTCTGGGTTTTCTTTCTTTCTTTTTTTTTTTTTTTTGGTCTGATACATCTCTTTTGGTCTCTTGGATATTTCCATGCATAAATGGCTTGACGTTTTTATGACTTGTTATTTAAAAGAAGAAAAAGACTTGCTGTCTTCACTGTAATCTTTTTAATGTAAGATAATTCCAATGACAAACAGTGGTAAAACAAGCTTATTTCTCCGCCAAACATGATTCAACCTTGATGGGCATTTCTTCTTTCTCTTCGCCCTTTGAGAGAAAGTGGGAGGGCCAGGAGGAAAGCCAGATTTGAGAAGAAAGTGCCTCATTAAATTCCAGGCATGGATCTGAAGCAAAACGACAAGGAAAAACAAAGCACTTCTCTAAATTTTTATATGGCTTTGCTTTTTTTTTTTTTTTTGAGGTGGTTTCAGACAGATGGCAGAGGTTAGTTCCATCTTCCTGGCAGCTGTCAGCCACTGAGACACTTGTGAACTCCAATCTAGACTGTCTGCCAGATTTTCCATAAATACAGCCACACATCTCCTGAATTTCCCAGGCCGTGCTAATTTCAACAACTCTATCCCATTGTTTCTACAAATACCTTGACTTGTTAGGTTTCAACTACTTGTTTCAATTTTGATTCTCTATTAAAGTAGAATATATTCACAGTAAAGTAGACAAATCTAAGTGTCCATCTTTAGATTTTTACCTATTTATACAGGCACATGTGTACACATTAAGACAGAATATTTCCAGTGCCAACAAGGTTCCCTGTGTCTCTTTTCTGACTCAGAAATAGCCAGACTTCTGACTTTCATCATCATATTTTATTTTGTGTATTGTTGATTCACTCAGTGCAGAGTCTTTTAGACCTGGTTTCTTTCATTTAATATAACACCTGTGAGATTCATCTATTTTGTTACGTGTAGCAGTGGCTTGTTCCTCTTTACTTGTATGTAGCATTCCAATTTATAAATACACATACCATCTATCTATTCTCCTGCGCATGGGCATTTGGAAACATCCTTACTTTTGACGACGGATGATTTGGTTACCATACCCACAAGATATCAGACATCATCAAAGAGTGGGGCAAAAAACACTAGGGCTTTCACACTTAATACATGGGATCTCACACATATTAGCTTAGTGCCCTCAGGCAAGTTACTTAATTTATCTGAATTTGCCTTACACATCATTATGAGAAAGACATGGCATACCATCTATACATGTCTATACTAATTATTTACACAAGATAGAAATACAAAAGATTGCTATCATGATTTTTTTTTTTTATCTTTGTGGCAAATTAGTTGTTAATATGACATAGGAAGACAAAACACCTACATAATTAGTGCCTCATTATACCATTAGAAAATGACAAGACCGTGTCAAGGAAAATTTTTAAACTTTATCTTGGCAGAAAGTATTTAATTTCTGGTATTATAGAGAATAATTCCAGAATGGGATTTTGGGTGTGGGCTCTAAGGATAAGGGTTCCAAAGATTTGTCATTTTCAGAGAAACATACTAATTCTTCAAAGTTCATCCAACAAAAGACTTTGGAGCAATTACAAAATTCCAGTCACTGTTGCAGCAATGAATCAGACAGTTTATCCTCATGACTATTAGTGGAGAAGGATCATAAATAAGTAAACAATTAAATTAGTAAGATATGTTTGGGAGGCCAAGGCGGGTAGATCACTTCAGGTCAGGACTTCGAGACCAGCCTGACCAACATGGCAAAACCACGTCTCTACTAAAAATAGAAAATTAGCTGGGCATGTTAGCACATGCCTGTAATCCCAGCTACTCGGGAGGCTGAGGCAGGAGAATCGCTTGAACCCGGAGGTGGAGGTTGCAGTGAGCCGAGATCGTGCCATTGCCCTCCAGCCTGGGCAACAAGAGTGAAACTCTGTCTCAGAAAAAAAAGAAGAAGATAAGTTTTTATCAATAAGTGTGGAGGTAAAACACAGAACAGGGTAAGGAGAGAGAGTGGTGGGTGTCAGATGCTGCTTTAGATCAGGAGACCAGGAAAGGCCACATTGAGGAGGGCATATGTAAGCAGAGAACCCTGTGCAGGAGTCATTAATCAAAGCTCCTGGGGAAAGAGACGTCCAGGCAGAGGGAAAAGCAAGCACAAAGGCACCGAGTCAGAAATGAATTTGGCAAATTTCAGTAACAGCAAGGAACCCAAAGTTCCTAAAGGGTAGGAATCTGGGGATTTGGTGGGGAGGAGCGATACTGGTTGAGGTTACAGACGCAGGCAGGGGCCAGACCCTCTCTATTTCATCCACTCACTGTTAGTGTTAGAAGCCTCGGAATGTGCCTTGTGGGCTGCTGGAGGGTTAACTTACTTCTCCAAGATTACTCAGAACCAGAGTTGAGCAAGAATCCAAGTTTTCTGTCTCTGTTTTCCATGCTGCCTAACTTTAAATAATATATCTCAAGTCTATTACCAAATCTGGGTATGATTTAATGCTAATGATTATAATTCAGCCAAAGAGAATAAGAAAATAGGCAATAAAGAGGTGTTATTATGACGAACAAATTCTCAAACTTCACAACTAGAACAATTTTGGAAAGAACTGAATCTTTTGAAACAGATGCCAAACACTGTTTGAAGATACTTTTGATGGTTATTTAGCTATAAACCTCCTGATAACAAAAAAAACACGGTGTGGCCGCTTGCCTGCACTCTAATTTTCCCTGGAGCCCAGGCGGCGGCTGACGCCTGTAATCTCAGCACTTTGTGAGACCGAGGTGGGCAGATTGCTTAAGCCCAGGAGTTTGAGAGCAGCCTGGGCAACAGAGTGAGACGCTGCCTCTATTAAAAATAAATAAATAAATCCAAAACATATGGTGAGACAATGTGGTGCGATTGAGCAGTGCTGAGGATGTGGATGTCATTATATAGTGACACAAAGTGCTGTAATAGATGGGGGCCAAGGGGCTGGGGTTAGCAGCATTCAGGTAAAGATGCTTCATCATTACATATCCACTAAGGGTACAATATCACAGGACAGTAAGAGCAGAAAGTCTGCAGTCGCCCCCAAATTTGTCACTTACACTAGAGAAGTGACCTGAGCAAGTTACTTAACCTTTCTGTACATCAGTTTCCTTACCTGTAAAATGAGGATAATACTAGCCATGTCTTTGTTCTCCTCACTGCCACAACTCCCCTCCCGCTTAACCTCTCAATCACAGCCCCTTCTAATACCATACATTCCCCACAGGAGAGGAACAGGAACACAAGTGAAGAGGGACATGTGGGTTGTAGATAATGCAAACAAGGCAGGCTGAAATAGACTTTATGTTTGTACATTCCCAATGAGACGATTGTCACTGTGGTGCAACAATTACATTTCAGTCACGAACTCTGACACATTCCATTAAACACTCTTGTTTTATTTCAATACTCACTAAGCTAATATGTGACCCTCAATTGACCTGACTAGACGGAGAGATGTACAGACTCAATGGAGCTTTATTTCTGATTTCTGTGAAGGTACATTCTCATGGTCAGTGTTTGCATTGGCTCTCTGACCTTGAGTAGTATTGTCATGTAATTTGAGTAAAGGGAGAGATAGTGGTTTTCATGCTTACGTGAATATTTCTAGTCTGTGTGACAGACGGTTTATTGTTCTTGGATAAATTGGATTTCATGAATGAATGAATGCAATTTACAAATAGGCAGAATGATCCTAACTACAGCATAAAAATGTCACTTCATTCCAATCTTTCTAAATCAAGATTTCCTGGTGTGAACTACTTAGACTGGGGGAATTTCTTCTCAGCTGACAGTCACATTTGCTGTTAGTTAATGCCAAAGACAGCCTGAAATTTTGGTAGGAAGTGAAAGCTCTGAAAATTGAACTGAATCAGTTTAGTGTCTACCACATATGGCCAGCCTTCCTTCTCAGGTTTGAGTGTCACTAACTTGAGTAGAAGAAAAGAAAACATGCACTTAGGGTTCTTCCTATAGTCTTCCATGGAAATGTCTCTTTTTGCTTAAAGGCACCAAAAACAACAACAAAAAAAATCATAAGCTATAACTCCTAGTAACACTTATTAAGAGAAGGCTCTATTGTGGGGACAACCTTCATGATATATTTTTGCTCCACTATTTTTAATTATTAGTTCATTCAATTACAAATTATTGAGATTTTGCTGTATCCTGTATACTAGGCACTGGTTATCTTTAGGGATTTAAAGAGGAATAAGAGAATGTTTGTACCAAAAGCTTTTAGAGCTTATAGGGAGGAATACAAAGAAAAACTTATTAAGATTTCATTTATTTTCCATCATTCCAATAAGATCATTGGCAAAGATAAATAAAATGGGACATTGTACAAAGAAGTAATTACCTACAAATTAAAGTGAACCAATTGTTTAGGGGAAGCAGAATGATCTTGATTCTAAAACCTGACAACATTCTATTTAGAGAAAGAATATATTTTGGCTGGGCACAGTGGTTCACGCTTGTAATCCCAGCACTTTGGGAGGCTGAGGTGGGTGGATCACTTGAGGTCAGGAGTTCAAGACCAGCCTAGCTAACCTGGTGACACTCTGTCTCTACTAAAAATACAAAAATTAGCCAGGTATGATGGCTCCCGTGTGTAATCCCAGATACTTGGGAGGCTGAGGCAGGAGAAGTGCTTGAACCTGGGAGGTGGAAGCTGCAGTGGGCTGAGATCACTGTACTCCAGCTTAGGCAATAGACACAGACTCCATCTCAAAAATAAATAAATAAATAAAAAATAAAAAATAGAATATTATTATTAACATCCTCAATAAGATCCTTAGAGTAAACATAACCATATTTTTCGTAGCCTTCCTCTCAGTATGTGATGAAGCACAGCTCTCTATAAACCATTTGCATGAGCAGGAGGGAGACAAATCGTGAACTCTGAATTACTGGCTGTTTAATAGTCTGTCATGATAGAAAGAGCGGGATTTTGCTACATGGAGACAGATAGAGTTTGAGATCTCTAAACCTACTCCCAGGTCCCCATCACGGCTTGTGAGTGAGCGGTGGAAAGGGCCAGACGGTGATGCTCCGGTTTCTGTCAGAGAAATGTAGCTTTTATCTGTTTCATAACATAGACTTCTTTGTCAGATTTTATTGAACAAATGATTCTTGTGCCTTAAAACAACTTTAAAATTATTTATCTAAGGCAATGTTTGTGGTAAAAGCAAATTTCCACTTTAAAATGTATATAATATTCATAATCCAAGGTTTGATAAATATCAGCAGCTATTTCAAGATCATACCCTTCAACAAATATTTGGGATGCAGTGATTCCCAAATCTGTGATGCCAGAAAAATTTAGGTTCTTGACTTAGCAGTTAACAGAGTTGGAACAGTAAATGATATTGGCTCATCAAGGTTAAGGAGGTCAAGGCAAACATATGCCTAAACAGAAGACTGACACAGCCCTGCACAGGAGGGCTTCAGGAAAGAATCAATGGGAAAGATCTAAATGTTTCTCTTCTTTAATCTTAATTTTTAATTTTCTTCAAATTTATATTTGTGTGTGGTTTTTAAAGAGATAAGCAATTGACAAGGCTTTTTGTGAAAAACCAGTTGTTCACCATCACACTCTCACTACCTTAACATTTCTTTTCCTTCAGAAACCATCTTTCCCCATTCTTTCAGGTAATTTTTTTGGTATTTATCCCCATGTCTAAATGACCAGGTTGAATCACTATCTGTAATTTTTACTTTTAGGTACTATCTATTGACTTCCCAGTATGGATAAAGGGAATTTAGCTTTCTTATACTCTTACATTCCCTACCAAAAACATGAACAATTCCTGTTATCCCTAATCCCCAATTTTAATTATCTCATAGGTTTTGCTGGATACATCTTTGGTGTTTATTAGTGATTGGAAAAATTCTATTCACAACTAGTCATATGGCTTAATCTGATTACTTTTATCACTCTAATTTTCTCTGAAGTTACTAGTTTCTTAATGCATTTGCTTATTATTCTTTGTACTAATTCAATCCAAACTTCCCTCAACTCAGTTGTGTGAATTTTTTCTCACGTTAAAACATATCAAGCATTTTTAAAAATGCCATCTTCTTAAAGACTTTTCTCTGGAGTTCTCTGTCCTGCTGCAGCCTAGACTGAAGACTTCTCTCTGGGCCAGCTGCACAGCTGCCCCTTGGCATCTGACCATGACCCTTTGGATTCTATGTAGCTCTCTCTTATATTGGATCACCTATTTCCTGTGTCCTATTCTCCTGTTGTTTACTACATTGCATTGGAGAAATACACAATCTAGTAACTCCCTAGAAATTGTGTATGGGCAGAATGATGTTTGATCCCTTGAATATCTGAAGATGTCTTTATTCTACACTCATTACTTGAAAAATTATCTGAACATAGAATTTGAAGTTGAAATAATTTTTGTCTGTAGCTTTGAAGGCTTTGCTACATAGTCATTTGTAAGTTGTGAGGTTGTGATGCCATTGTGATTGCTGATCTTATGTAACTAAATTTATATTTCCTCCATTTGGAAGCTTATAGAATTTTCATTTTTTCTTAGAGTTTTGAAATTTCCCAATAATTACCCTTTGTGTGGATCTGTTTCAGTCAATCCATTTTTCTAGAAACTCAGTGGACTTTTTAAATCAGAAAATACTTGTCCTTCAGTTTCAGAAAATTTTCCGCAACTATATTATTTTTATAATTTATCCTCGACAAATTTTTGGTTATAGTTTTTTAAAAATTCCCTTTATTTCATATATCAGATCTGTTAGATTTATCCTCTAATGTTCTTATAGTTTTTCGTCCTCCCCAATCCCTCCAATTCCTTTACTGAAGTCTACTTTCTGGTATTTTTATTTTCTAAGAATTTCTTTACATTCCCTGAGTGTACCCTTTAAAAAAAACTGTTCATATTTCATGAACTTAATATCTCATCTTCCTACTCACACTGATGATTATTTTTTGATATTTCTTTATCATTGTAATTTTATTTTCTTTCAAGTGGCTTTATTTATCTTTGGTCTCCACCTCATATGTCAGAGACTGCTCATTTTTCAAGACTGTAGTACTAAGAAGCAGATTGCAAAATGTCTGTACTTACCATTGGCACTTCTACTAGGTGTTTTCTGTAGCATGATCAGGATGAGCCATTTTGGGAGGACCTCTTGCTATCAATCTTGTTAGAAGGTTTCTCTTGACTGGACTGAGTTCTCCAAGTCTTCCAGTCTCTTGCTTTGAGGATAGAATCCTGGCTGCCAGCGTTTTGGCATTCTGATCCTCTGTAGAATAAATTTGTAGTAATCTGATGGATAAAGGGATGGTATGTAGAGAGATCAATTTTTTTTAATGGATTTTCAAAAAATCCTACTCTTTTCACTTTTTTCTTTAGCAGAGTATATTAATTGTGTAGACTTTTTGGTCTCTACCACATAAGTTGGGTTGTTATTCATTTTCCCCGAGTAGTCTTAGGATTAAGCTCTCTTGTATTTGTTAATTTAGTTACCACTTATTGATCTCCATTTTTTTGCTTTCAACATTTTTCTGTCTTCAACATTTTTCACTGTTGTGTGTGTGTGTGTGTGTGTGTGTATGAGCTCGCTGCCAGAATCTTTGTCCCTATGGGTTTATAGCTTTAAAATACATAGTTCTTTTGTGTGATTTTGGGAGGGAGCAAATTTCATTGGTCTGCTTAGTCTTCCATCTTTAATCGGAAAACAATGTCTTGATTTTCTCAACAAATCATTCAAGGTCAGTTCTAACCAGGGGTCATTCTTCTAACCAGGGGACATGAATGAGTGAATGTGAATGGTATTTGGCAGCATCCACTTTAATAATTTCAGAAGCTTAAATTAGAATGGTATGTTCTGTAGAGTAGGCATTAGCCAGTTCCAGCTTACTACCTGTCTTTGTAAGATTCAGGAGCTAAGAATGGTTTTAACATGTTTAAATGGATTTTAAAAAATCAAAATAGAAATAATGTTTTGGGACATGCAATATTATATAAAACTCAAGATTGTGTCAAAAATAGAGTTTCATTCGAATACAGCTATGCTTATATATTTGCTGTGGCTACTTTTGGTTCTATGACAGGACAGTTAATTAGTTGTGACAAAGACCGCATGGCCCACAAAACCCAAAATATTTACTATCAGGCCCTTTATAGAAAAAGTTTCGTGATCTCTTCTCTGTAGTGTAAAACCTGGCAGTTCAACAATTGAAATATGTAGCCACTTTAAATAATATAATGTTTTGGTAAAACCTCCAGGATAAGCAAGTTAAAAAATACATTTCTAGGTACCTCTGCTAGCTTGCTTTGTAAATTTACTAGATGTAAGCCATTATAGCAAAGCAAATATTTTGATTTTAGAATATTTGATTTGCATGCATTTTTCCACTGGCAAATAGACAACAGGTCTAGAGTCTTGTAATATATTAAGGCTGCCACTTAGCTGGGTGCGATGGCTCATGCCTGTAATCTCTGCATTTTGGGAGACCAAGGCAGGTGGATTGCTAGAGTTCAGGAGTTCGAGATCAGCCTGGGCAACATGGAGAAACAGTGTCTCTACAAAAAATACAAAAATTAGACATACACCTGTATCCCCAGCTACTTGGGAGGCTGAGGTGGGAGGATGGATTGAGCCCAGGAGGTTGAGGCTGCAGTGAGCCATGATTGTGTCACTGCACTCCACCCTGGGTGACAGTAAGATTCTGTCTCAAAAATAAAATAAAATAAAATAAAATAAAAAATAAAACAAAAGACTGCTATTTATATATGGCAAAATCTCTTGTTAGCCTATATAATTGTGCTTATCTTTTTCTTTCCTATAGCAATGGTGTTTGCTAACTAAATGGATTCTCAAATATTGAGAAGGAGCAAGCAGAGGTGGGATAATGAGGGAGAAGAGAAGATGTTATGGACTGAATTTTGTGTCCTCCAAAATTCATATATTAAAGCTCTAGCCACCAATATGATGGTATTAGGAGGCGTTGCCTTTGGAGGCTCATTACGCTTAGATGACATCATGAGAATAGAGGCCCCATGATGGGATTAGTCACCCTATAAGAAGAGGAAAAGACCAGAGCTCTCTTTCTCCCTCTTTTCCATGTGAGAATACAATAAGAAGGCAGCCATCTGCAAGCCAGTAACAGACCTCTCACCAACAACTGAGTCTGCTGACACCTTGAACTTGGACTTCCCAGCCTACAGAACTGTGAGAAATAAATGTATTTTGTTTAAGTTATCCACTTGACAGTGTTTTGTTACAGCAGCCTGAGCACACTAAGACAGAGAGTAGGAGGAAGAAGCTAGAGAGAGACAGACCACATTCCTATTAACTCATTGGTAATTATTCCTAATCTTACAATTCTGACTCTTGGGTGGTATTAAGATATATGTTTTATGTTAACATTACTGCCCTAAATCCATGCTGACTTTTTATGGTTTATCACTTTACTTATGTCTGTTAAATAAAGGCCAATAAATCCTGAGAATCATCTCAAATATTCCTGACAGATACTGCTAGGTGATAAAAATATGATAAAAGTACCCTCAATAAAGAAAGGAAGAAATAAACCATCACTTGTTCAGAGCCTGTACCTAGTCCACCTTTTTCATACGCTATCTCTGTAATGCCATTCACAACACTGTAAGATAGGTACCATTATTATCCTCATTTTATGCCAAATGAAACGGAGTCTTACATACATTAGATAAATGCTGCTCAAAGTCTTACAGCTAGTAAGTGGTAGGACTAAACTTCCAGCCAAGGCTTTCTGTCGACCGAGTCTCTACTCTTTAAAACCAAACATGCCACTTTGTAGCAGTTCCAAGAAAATGTTTTCACTCTAAGTTCCAGGAAAGGGAAGAGACATCCCTAAAATATTCCCGCTCATCTGCTGAAAGAAAGACTTTAAAAGCTTTCGACTGAGGGCAAGAAATTCCTTACAACAACTTTATTTAGGACTATAGAGAGTCCTTCATCTGTCCAAAACATTAATGGGTCAGAATAATCATTCAGTGAGATGCCTGCAGTAGTCACTTCAGTTGGAGATGGTACTGAAGGGATAAACTTTTCCCCACACTTTCTCCACTGCCTGGGCCCCACTGTTGGTGGGATACCAATTCTGTATGCTTTTGGTATCTAGAACAACTGAAGGTCAATGTGAAAAGACTGTTTTCAGATATTCTTTTATTAATGTTCTTTGGAGGAAAGAACATGAAGTGGGTTATTTGCAAAACTCTGCCACAATCCTTCTTTGTAAGATACTAGGGTATCTACCTGCTTTTGATGGATCAGCTTGTCTATTAGGAGAGTGAAGTGTTTTAAATTCTCTTTTTTTCTTTCCTTCTTTCCCTTGTTTGTAACTCCGGATCCTTCTAATAGTTTTCAATCACTTTGGATTTTTTGTTGAGCCCCTACTAAATGCATGGCCTTGTATCTGTTGTTGCAAAAAAACATGAATGTCAACTAAAAAACAACCACTCCACCCCTAATCCCAATCACATTTTACAATACAGTAAAATAATCTGAAGACATCTTTTATGAATGTCTTCTCCCCTTCCTTAAACTGATTATACATCTTTAGTCTTACTTCTTGCTTTCCAGGTAGGATAAGTTGCTGCATCAATCAGTGAACTGGAGTTCATCTGTCAAATACAGTGCAGATCACGCAGTTGCTTATAGACATAGGGTCTGCCTGGATCCAGAGCTTGATTTGTCTTTTTTTGTTTCTCTGCCTATGACTGACTTTATCCAGTGGCTAACTTCATAGTGAGACGGTCCATTTGACAATGATTTGCCCATAATGCACTAGATCACTGATCCATTGTATGGCCTAACAAGGAACTGCAGGTTCTTGTTCCATCTCCATATCTGGGATCAAAAAATTCCAAAGTTGTTAATAAAGGAATGGTTTTCCAGCCCTCAAAAGATGAGATGGATGGGAATTGATTTTGAAAAGGATTTTGAATAATCACATACTTTTGCATAAATGTGTCTTAGGGGACACTTTACAATTAGGGCATCTGAAAGGCTAGACTGCATTCCTTTCTTTAAGACATTCAAGTGCTCTCATTTTTTTTTGTTTGATTTTTAATCAGTCTGGCTAAAGGTTTATACATTTTATTGATCTTTTTAAGGAACTAGTTTCTAATTTTATTTATTTTTCTCCATTTTTTTCCTCTGTGTGGTTATTTAATTAATTTATTTATTTTTATTTTACTTGTTTGTTTTTTTTTCAACTTTTACTTTAGATTCAGGGGGTACATGCACAAATTTGTTAACTGGGTATACTGTGTGATGCTTAGGTTTGAGGTATGAACGATGCCTTCACCCAAGTAATGAGCATAATACTCAAGGGTTCGTTTTTCAGCCTTTGCCCCCCTCCCTCCCTTCCCACTCTAGTAGTCCCCAGTGTCTATTTTTGCCGTCTTTATGTCCATGAGTACCCGATGTTTAGCTCCCATTTATAAGTGAGAACATGTGGTAATTAGTTTTCTGTTTCTGCACTAATTTGCTTAAGACAATGGCCTCCAGCTACATCTATGTTGCCGCAAAAGACATGATTTAATTCGTTTTATGACTGTGGTGTTCCGTGGTGTACATGTACCACATTTTCTTTATTCAATCCACCATTGACGGGTACCTAGGTTGATTCCATGACTTGGTTATTGTGAAAAGTGTTGCAATTAATGTGTGAGAGCATGTATCTTTTCCACAGAACAATTTGGGTTGTTTCATACACACACACACACACACACACAAAGAGAATTGCTCAGTTCAATGGTAGTTTTGCTTTAAGTTCTTTGAGAAATTTCCAGATTGCTTTCCACAGTGGTTGCACTAATTTACATTGGCACCAACAGTGGATAAGCATTCCCTTTTCTCTGTAGCCTCACCAACATATGTTGTTTTTTGACTTTTTAATAATAGCCATTCTGACTGGTGAGAGATGGTATCTCATTGTGGTTTTCATTTGCATTCTCTGATGATTAGAGATGTGAAGCATTTTCTCATATACTTCTTGGTCACTTGTACATTGTCTTTTAAGAAATGTCTGTTTATGTCTTTTGCCCATTTTTTAAGTGGGGTTATTTTTTGATTGTTCAATTGTTTATGTTCCTTATAGATTCTGGATATTAGATCTCTGTTGGATGCATAGTTTGCAAATATTATCTCTTATTCTGACGGTTGTCTGTTTATTCTGTTAGTGGTTTATTTTGCTGTGTAGAAGGTCTTTAGTTAATTAGGTCTGACTTGTCAATTTTTGTTTTTGTTGCAACTGTTTTTGAGTACTTAGTCATAATGCTTTCCCAAGGTCAATGTCCAGAATCATGTTTTCTGATTTTCTTCTAGGATTCTTAGAATTTGAAGTCTTACATTAAAATTTTTAATCCATCTTGATTTAATTTTTATGTAAGGTGAAAAGTAGAGGTCCAGCTTCATTCTTTGGCATGGCTAGCTCGCTATTCCAGCACCATTCAATTTATTTATTGAATAGCAAGTTCTTTACCTTTTGCTTATTTTTGTTGGCTTTGTCAAAAGTTCGATGACTGTAGGTGTGCAGCTTTGTTTCTGGGTTCTTTATTCTGTTCCATTGGTCTATGTGTCTGTTTTTGTACTGGTGCTGTGCTGTTTTGGTTAGTGTAGCCTTATGGTATGGTTTGAAGTTGGCTAATGTGATGCCTCCAGCTTTGCTCTTTTTCCTGCGGATTGCTTTAGGTATTTGGGCTCTTTTTTGGTTTCATATAAATTTTACAATAGTTTTCTTCCAATTCTGTGAACAATGACATCAGTAGTTTGATAGGAATAGTGTTGAATCTGTAGACTGCCCCTTGGAGTGCCCTTGTTTTTACAAAATAATAAAAGTTTGTCTGCAGGAAAACAGCTTTGGATAAATTCTGACTTGAGTTCAGATAGTAGCAGCATTTACTACTATGTCCCTTTGAAGAAGATGTTTAAATTTCCTAAATCTAAACTGTCTCTTTGAAATGGATATATGGAAGGTAACTTTTTTATTGAATTGTCCTAACTCAAGATGCAGTCTGACAGCCTGATGCAGAGTAAATAAATACTGGCTAGATGTTGCCTGCAGTTTCCTTTCTTCTCTGTCTTAAATTGAGCTAATGAACTCTTCAAACAAATGTTATTCTTCACTAGATGATACGCTTTGTGTTAATTCCCTTTTGCCTTTCTTCTGTGGAGGGATGCCTAAAAATGATTCAAATGAGATTGGAAAATGTAGGATTAAACACTTAAACAGGATTATTTGTTGAAGAACCATTCAGAGTCATTAATGCATTACAACATTGGTGCATTATTAAGTAACAAAGAGGAATAGATGTAGCATTTGGCTTAATGATTTGACCACAAAAATTAAAAAAAAATAATTTGTTGTTTTAAAAGAAAGAACTTGTAAATTGAGTGTTCTAAGGAATAAATTTTGGGAAATGTCAGTTTAACAATGGATGCAGGGAAATTTGGCCCTACTATTAAGGAAAGAAAACAAATTTGTACAACATGTATCACATATGTCGAATAGTTAAATGTAAAAAAAAAGTCTGAAAATATATTAAGACTAGAGTAAAATATGGAAGTACATTTTTAAATTGTTCCATGCCAAGAACTCTGTGTTCCCGGAATAAATTGAAAAAATTACAAAGGTATATTGATGGATTTGATTATACAAATGCCCAAGTACTTCTTAGGCCAAAAAAAAAAAAAAAAATACTTAACTTTAAGAGGCAAAAGTCAAACTTGAAGAAATCATTTATTTAAAATGGCAGACTTTGTAAGCAACTTAAACAACTAGTGAATTAAAAAAATATGTATAAATAGGCCAAGTGCGGTGGCTCACACCTGTAATTCCAGCACTTTGGGAGGCCGAGGCACGTGGATCACAAGGTCAAGAGATCGAGACCATCCTGGCCAAAATGGTGAAACCCCGTCTCTACTAAAAATACAAAAAACTAGCTGGGCCTGGTGGTGCGCGACTGTAACCCCAGCTACTTGGGAGGCTGAGGCAGGAGAATCGCTTGAGCCTGGGAGGTAGAGGTTACAATGAGCTGAGATCACACCACTGCACTCCAGCCTGGGCAACAGAGTGGGACTCCGCATAAAAAAAAAGAAATAAAAAAATATATAAATGATCAAAATATATGAATTGCATGTGGATATAAGAGGAAATAAATGGCCTGGCATGGTGGCTCAGCCTGTAATATCAGCACTTTGGTAGGCCTAGGTAGGTGGATCACGAGGTCAGGAGTTTGAGACTAGCCTGCCCAACATGCTGAAAGCCCATCTCTACTAAAAATACAAAAAATTAGCCAGGCATGGTGGCAGGCACCTGTAATCCCAGCTACTCAGGAGACTGAGGCATGAAAATTGCTTGAACCCAGGAGGCAGAGGTTGCAGTGAGCCAAGATTGTGCCACTGCACTCCAGCCTGGGTGACAAGAGTGAAACTCTGTCTCAAAAAAAAAATTATGAATAAATTCATGTAATATAATATTTAAATAAGTTAAGTTAAAATAAAGAACAAATTAAGGACATACATTGTGTTTATAAAGTTTGTAATCATTCAAAAAATTCAATACTCAGTATTCTTAAAAGGGTTTCTCTCTCCCATGGAACACTTATATGAACCTGTGGGAATAGTAATTTGTGTCATATTTATAAAGAATACTTTGGTAACATATAATTAAACAATTGCAGGTGTATTAGTCCATTCTTACACTGCTATAAAGAACTGCCAGAGACTGTGTAATTAATAAAGGAAAGAGGTTTAATTGACTCCCTAGTTCCACGTGGCTGGAGAGGCCTCAGGAAACTTCCAGTTTTCTGCCAAACCCACAGTCATAGCAGACTAAACCCACACCTCTTCACGGGGTGGCAGAAGATAGAATGAGAGCCGAGTGAAGGGGGAAGCCCCTTGTAAAACCTTCAGATCTTGTGAGAACTTACTATCACAAGAATAGCATGGGGGAACTGCTTCCATGATTCAGTTGCCTTCCATGAGGTCCCTTTCCCAATACATGGGGATTATAATTCAGATTACAATTCAAAATGAGATTTCTGGGTAGAGACATAGTCAAACCATACTATTCCACACCTGGACCCTTCCAAATCCCATGTCCTCACATTGCAAAACACAATCCTGCCCTTCCAGCAGTCGCGTTAAGTCTTAACTCATTCCAGCATTAACCCAAAAGTCCAAGTCCAAAGTTCCTCATCTGAGACAAAGAAAGTCCCTTCTGCCTATGAGCCGGTAAAATCAAAAGAATGTAGTTACTTCCTAGATACAATGCGGTTACTGGTAATGGTTAAATACACCTGTTCCAAATGGGAGAAATTGGCCAAAACAAAGGGGCTATAGGCCCCATGCAAGTCCAAAATCCAATAGGACAGTCCTTAAACCTTAAACTTCCAAAATGATCTCCTTAGACTCAGTGTGTCACATCCAGATCATATTGATGCAAGAGGTGGGCTTCCACAGCCTTGGGAAGCTCCATCCCTGTGGCTTTGCAGGGTACAGCTCCCCTCCTGACTGCTTTTATGGCCGGCATTGAACATCTGCAGCTTTTTCAGTAACACAGTGCAAGCTATCAGTGGATCTACCATTTTCACAGCTCCATTAGGCAGTGCCTCAGTTGGGGACTCTCTGTGGGGGCTTCAACCCCATATTTCCCTTTCACATTGCCTAGCAGACGTTCTCCATGAGGGTTCTTCCCTTGCAGAAGACTTCTGCCTAGACATCCAGGCATTTCCATACAACTTCTGAAATCCAGGCAGAGGTTCTCAAACCTCAATTCTTGTCAGGCCCACCATCGTGGGTAAGTTGCCAAGACTTGGGGATTACAACCTCTGAAGCAATGTCCTGAGCTGTACATCAGCCCCTTTTAGCCACAGCTGGAGCTGAAGCAGCTGGAATGCAGGGCACCATGTCCTGAGACTGCATGGAGCAGGGGGGCCCTGGGCCTTGCCCACAAAACCATTTTTTCCTCATAGGCCTCCAGGCCTGTGATAGGAGGGGCTGCTGTAAAGGTCTCTGACATGCCCTGGAGACATTTTCCGCATTGTCTTGATGATTAACATTTGGTTCCTCATTGCTTATGCAATTTTCTGCAGCCAGCTTCAATTTCTCCCCAGAAAATGGGGTTTTCTTTTCTATCACATCATCAGGCTACAAATTTTCCAAACTTTAATGCTCTGCTTCCTCTTAAATGCTTTGCTGCTTAGAAATTTCTTCTGCCAGATACCCTAAATCATCTCTCCCAAGTTCAAAGTTCCACAGATCTCTTGGGCAGGGGCAGAATGCCACCAGTCTATTTGCATAGTAAGAATGACCTTTACTCCAGTTCCCAACAATTTCCTCATCTCCATCTGAAACCACTTCAGCCTGGACTTTATTGTCCATATCACTATCAGCATTTTGGTTAAAGCCATTTAAACATATTTTAGGACATTGAAAATTTTCTCATATCTTCTTGTTTTCTGAGCACTCCAAGTCTCTAGGAAGTTTTAAACTTTCACACATTTTCCTGTCTTCTTTTGAACCTTACAAACTGTTCCATCCTCTGCCTGTTACCCAGTTACAAAGTCACTTCCACATTTTCAGGTGTCTTTACCGCAGCACCCCACTCTCTCCTGGTACCAATTTACTATATTAGTCTATTCTCATGCTGCCATAAAGAACTGCCCAAGACTGGGTAATTTATAAAGGAAAGAGGTTTACTTCACTCACAGTTCTGCATTGCTGGGGAGGCCTCATGAGACTTACAATCATGGTGAAAGTCATCTCTTCACAGGCTGGCAGGAGAGAGAAAGAGAGCCAAGCATAGTGCAAAACCCCTTATAAAACCATCAGATTTCATGAGAACTTACTCACTATCACAAGAAAAGAATGACGAAACTGCCCCCATGATTCAATTACATCTCATGGGGTCCCTCTCCCAACACATGGGGATTATAATTCAGATTACAATTCAAGATGAGATTTTTTTTTTGTGAGGACATAGCCAAACCATATCAGCAGGTAACCTAAATACTATGGTCTTAATGTTTGTTCCCCAAAATTTGTATGTTGAAATCCTAACCCAAAGATGACAGTGCTAGGAAACAGGGCATTTGGGAAGTGATCAGGTCATGAAGGTGGAGGCCTCATGAATGGGTTTAGTGCCCTTACAAAAGATATTGCTCATAGATCCTTTATCTCTTCCACTGTATAAGGGCACAATAAGAAGGCATTTTCTACGAATCAGAAAGCAGGCCCTCACCAGACACTGACTCTGTCAGCATCTTCATCTTGGACTTCCCAGTTTCCAGAGCTGTGAGAATGAAGTTGTTTATAAGCTACCCAGTTTATGGTACTTTTTTATAGTTCCCTGCATGGAGAAATAGGCTAATTTTTTAAAAGAATGTAATTAGGGAAATGATAGAGCATACATTAGAAATAGTGTCTTGAAGCCCTTAAAATATCTTGAAGATATTTCAGATATAATATGAGCCCAACTAAAATAAATTTATCTATAAGTATACCTGAGAGGAAATAAAATATTAACCTTGATCATCTCTGACCAGTGGAATTAGCATTGTTTCTTTCTTAAACTTTCTTTTATTTTCTATAAAAGAAAAAACCCTATAAGCTTAAAAATATATAATGACAACTTGGATTGGCATTTCTAACACTGAATTAAGTCCTTGATGGTAGGACAGGAAGTAGTGTAGACAAGGAGTAGCCTAAACAAAAATGCCTCCTAGTCTGCTTACATGTATATTGGACCATTTGATAAGGCAAATAAAGTGTCATGTCTAAGCTCAACTAATCAGCTGATAAATAAGTTTTTATCTTGGGTTGTGAGAGTCTTTGGAAATGAAAGTGGAAATGAAGGATAGAGGCAAAGAAAAGAAAGAAGTAGTGTTGAGCATCCCAAGAGTTAGGGCCACTATCAAATTTGGAGGATGGTAGCGAGTATATGTGTTGTCAATTCAAAAAGAACCATCTCAACACTGTTACTTTGAATATCATCTGTAATAATTCTTCAGGGGAAATCAGGAACTAACCAAAATCACATGTACTAAGCTATTTGGGGTCATGCTAATAAGTTTTATAAATGATGAGTTTAAGTTTGTAATGATAAGCCCATATTAATCCAATTTATTGATAAAATGCCCAGTATATTCACAGTTTTCTGCTCTAGACTCCAAAGTTAAAGCATGGAAATCTGTAAAAACTTACTAAGCTGCTTTTATGTGTACACAGCACAAAGGGAAACATTAAAAAATAAAAAATAAATACAACCCGCTCTTCTCATGTTTAGAATTTCTGTTTTTTGGGTTTATTATTTGTTAGTTTGTAATGCATTCTGCCAAGACATGAATGATTCATTAGAATAAAACAATTATAAGGTAAATTTAGTCATCATAAAACAAAAAGCATCCCAGGAGATTTATTAGCCTATCTCTTGGATGTAGAAAGGAATTGGATGTCTCCACAGTGGCTCTGTATCTACTGAGTCTATTCCCATGTGTGTTCCTCTGCCTCTGAGTCCTGTCAAAGTTACAGTTTCTGGTAGCTACTTATTTTGGCTGTCTCTTCAGTCTGCAAGCCATTTTCCTCACTGAGAACTACTTCCTTGCATATAGCTATGTGCTCCAGTCAGCTATAATCGCTCTGTATGTCCCCATCCTTTCCCATAACTTATGTGGGGAAGGAGTTGTGGTGTGGGGGCATCTGACACAAAGTGGGCCAATGATAATCTTTTTTCTAGGCAGGTGGAAGTAACACCAAAAGGCAGGGAATCCGTCCCTATGTGTGTCTGGGACTCTCAGAAGCTATGAGGCCACAGGGACAAGGAAGCAGAGAAAGCCAATTTACAGAGAAAGAAAGTAGAATGAAGTTTTCACTGGAAGAAAGAAAAAGAAAGTTTTTTGGGTTTTTGCAGAATTCCCTCTCCTAATCTCAGTTCCTCTTTAAAATCTGGCTATGTTATGACTTCTGGTTTCTGTGAAGCACCCTTATATATTTTTAAAGATATCTGGCTCTGCTGGCCTGCTCCCCCAACTCCCAATTTTTGATGTTGCTGTTAAGGGAATTTAATAGTCTCCAGTTATTTGCAAATCAGGAGACTTATTTAATATAAACTTTTACAAAAGGCACATATTCCATGTATTTCATCTCCTTCAGGCCTCCCTGACAAACGTGTCCTCCTTTGGGGCTGCTTTGTTTGATTAACTTAAACTTGTACAATATTTACATCATTTATAAAATGCTCTTGTATCAGATTGTTTGGGCTCCTCTAGAGTAGTCATGGTCTATTGTGTAAACACAGCATTGATGTGATTTCTACAACTTGCATTATTTACCCAACAGACTGTGTAACTGCTCCAAATGTACCATTATGACTGTCATGTGGCATAAATCTATCTTCAGGCACTTTTGAAAGCATGACTCACTGTAGTCTTTTGTGTAAGGGAATTTATGAAATGTGTATTATCCATTTAATAAAGTCTAATGTCTGTCTGGTGAGCTGAGTTAATCCACTGGGAAAAAATTAAAACCTATGCATAAAGGAGAAATAATTTCTTATACCAACCATTTCCAGCACTCCTAGTCAAAAAGTCTTATTTATTTGTGTCTTCACTAGACAGAAATTTACAGCCCTGTTTTGTACACTACTTTATCTACAGCGTTGGGCACAGGATCTGGCATAGGGACTAATATACTTTGCTGAATGAATGCCTGAATAAACTCATATAAGTTATCTCACTTAATTCTAGCAGCATCCTCATTTTGCAGATAAGGAATGGTGACTCAGGTATGGTAAATAATTTTTTTTAAGTCACATAAATTTATAAGTGGTGAAACTGGAATCTAATCCATCTTACCCAATGCCTTAGCTACTTCAATTATGTCAAAATAACAGAAAAGATACAGAAATAATAAAACATTACTATAATAATCATCATAAAACAAAAAATATATATTCCAAAGAATACAAAAACAAGTAAAGTAAATCTTTCCAGACTGGAAGTCAGGAGATCAGTGTTTTACAAGATCTTTTCTTTCAGTCTGCTACATGTGTTAGGCAAATCACTTCATTTTTCTTATCTTTCTTTTCCTTCTTGGTGTTTTAGCTTATTTTCTAAAAACCACTGTTTTAGATACTCCCATTTCAGTTGTTTTCATTCTCTCTTCTTGGAAGCACCTGAGAGCAATTGCTTAAATTTTAACGTTTTACTCAAATTTTACTCCCTAAGCACCTGGCTTGCCTCACACCAGTCCTGGCCCTGCTCTCCACAGAAGCCCAGGAAACTCCCAACATTGCTTCCAATCATTAAAAACGTTCACAAGAGTCAGTCATTAACAACTTTCACAAGAGGCTTTATGCTCACCTCTCCAAGGAGACTGAAAATCAGAAGGAATACATTTCCAGTAGAATTTTAAAGGTCCTAAATCATCCCCTGGGTAAGTAGGATTGTCCACCTCTTCCCCTTTTCCTTCCTTTTACTCCTTTTCTTTTTCCTATCTTTCTTTTTCAGTGTTGCTGCATGGGGGACTCCTTTCATGCTTCTGCATTGTATCAGGTATATACCCATCAGAATGCCCTTGAATGGACCGTAGTAAGAATAGGAGTAACATTTCTCCTCTCAGATGACATGATCAGGTATGACCTCTATTATCCTCTGTGATTATTGCTCTCTTGAGTATTCCCACCCTTGATCTGGACTTTGCATCTTTTTGGATGAAGTTCATGTAGTATTTGGTTCATATTGTCTTCTCCTGAGAATAGAAATGTGTCATGGCCATGTATCGGGGGAAGTCTGGGCATTTGGCATGTTGGCGGCATAGCCCTGTTAAGCACTTCTTTTGTTCTCACATCCACCCAGATCTGGAGATAGCATAGCTGCCTGATTGCTCACAGCACCTTGGTAGAAGAGCAGGGGAAACCCACAGTTGCTGAAGGTTGAAGCTCTTTGTGGCTTAAGCTGGGCTGGGTTGAGTTCAATGCCCCATTTAGAGATTGAAAGACACATCTTCCAAACTTCTGAATTATATTCCAGAGAGCCTCAACATAGGAAAGTGAGACAACTCTGAGTGAGAAAAACTGGGAACAAACCCAATAGCTCTTCTCTCCCTGCAGACCTCATGGGTTTCATTATTAGCTATGAGTGTTTTGGATATCAGGACTGAAAGTTCATTTTATACGCTGCCTCTTGAAGTAAACTGCCAGTAGTAGACCAAGCAGTTATTGAAGGGCTCTGGGTTATTTTTAGGTGAATACAAACAAACTTGAGCTATTGTTTTTAAAAGATAAACTTCGGGAAGATTAAATTAGAAAAACAAGCAAACAAATAAGCAATCAAACAAGAAATGACAGCAACAAAAACAAACCCTACACAAAGAAAATCAAAAAAGAAACAGAATTAACACCCCGAATGGTATTTGAGCAATGGTGAAAGACAGAATCAACACATTGCCTTGTCCTTAAAAATTCACTGAAATAGCAGAGAATGATGAATAATATACATGCAATGAGGAAAACAAAAATCTCTTGCCTTTCCATGCACTCCAGAGCTTAGCTGAAATAAGTCCCTATTCCTGTTTGAGTTTGGCCTTGTAGGGCTTTGAGATCAGAAAACAATCCCTGCACACAGAATTGGATGCTCACTAGCTAGCATTTAAAAATAGGAAATGAAAATGACTGGCAAAATAGAATACTAGAGAAGAGAGGAAATAAACCACGTTCCCATCCTACTGCTCTTTCATGATCTGTTCTGTCCCACAGGCATAGTGGAAATTGCTTTGCTTATGC